CTCTGTGCGGTAAAATAGTACCATCCCCTATTTGGTGTAGGGGTTTCGCTCAAATTATATGCTGCATGAAACTCCATAGGAGAAGCATCCTCGTGGTGCACCTTTCTCCATAATGCAAGAAAACCGAGCAGGACTCTCCTACCGTTGGGCGCTAGTCGCCCCGGAGTCAAGAAAAAGTAATGCAAAACACGACAAATGGGGGAGGACATGGGAAATCTTAACCCAGCCTCAAGCATCTCCTCGTAGACAACAATATCCCCGGAAGAGTCGTCGCAAGCAAGCTCGCCCAACTCAGCCCGACGGCACAACACGGTCGGAGGGATGTGATAAGTAAAAACAAGCCTTGAAATATCTTCATCTAAGCGGAACAAACTAGAAAGGGTGCTCACCTTAGACCCATCATCATCAAGTCCCACTTTGCTCTTGCGTTTCTTCTTCCGGGGCCTTAAGGAGTAGTCCAAATCACCATTGGGAGAGTCTTGAGAAACTTGAATCGGGAGAGCTACAATAGGGGCTTGATCATCAAGGGCAGCACCCAAAGCTTCCTTACTACTTGCAATGTCTAGCCCAACGCCTGGAAGTGTGCCTGACTGCTGTTGCTCGCCAAAACAAAGTTGCCCAGTAGCTTGAAGGGTGTCTGGCCCTTCAAAATTGTGCAACGCAGAATTTTCGGCGCAAAAATCAGCACCTAAGGCGCCCAAATCAGCGCCTCGAGTGGGAATCGGATCAGCCCGTGCTCCCAGGCCACTGCCTAGCTCTCCCTGATGAATCTTGGACTGATTTTCAGCGCCCCTTGATGGAAAAATGCTGCTGCCCAGCGTTCCAAAGCCGCCCAGCGCAGCAGATCTGAAGCTGTCCGGGACAGCAGAAGCAGCAGCTAGGTTGCTGCCCAGCGCACTTGGGCTGTCCAGGACAGCAAGGCCAGCGCCTAGGCAGCTGCCCAGCGCGCCTGGGCTGTCCAGGACAGGAGGAGCAGAGCCCAGGCAGCCGCCCAGCCCCCCGCCGCTCGTGCGCGCGCACTGCCCAGTCGCGCGCCCAGCGAGCCTGCGCTGCCCAATCGCGCGCCCAGCCGTTTCCCTTCGCTGCCCAAGCCACTCCTCGCGCTGCCCATCTCCCCTTCGCTGTCCAGCCCTTCATTTTCAGCCCCAAATCTGTCCAAGACAGCATTCGAATGCTCAAAACTAGCCTCCAACTTCTCCAAAATGGTGCTTACTTCCTCCCTTTCTTTAACCTCCACCACTCCCTCTTCAATCGACATTGTTCACTTGAGAAGCTCAACTTGGAAGGAAGAAATCACACTCTTGAAAAGATTCAAGGAGAACACACTTTGACTTCAACAAAATGGGCAGGACTTGAGTTTTCAAGATTTTCAAGAGGTGGGTGCTCAATCTTAAAAATGAGTGAAATGAGTAACATGAATAAGAAGACTATATTTATAGTCTAGAGTTTTTCAAAAAGAGGGAAAAAGCCCAAATAGAAAATTATGGGCCATTTTCAAAATAAAGTGGGAAAGACTTGAAGTTTTAACAAAAAAAAAAAAATATAGTCAATGCCTCCTTCTCCAAGTCTCCTTGGACATGGGGCATTGGGGGGCAAATGATGGGTTAAGCCCAAATAGTCCAATTTATGTGTTAAAGTCCAACCCCAGTTGAGGAGCCCAACCTCATTTTTGTTCCACCAAGCTCAAGACAGTCCAAGACCGGTTAAACTTTTTGCTTAGCATGTCACCAAGAGGAGAGCATGGAAAACTTATCTGCACCACCGAAGAAAACGGTCCAATCTTTGACCACGTTTCATGAAGAGCTCCCCAACCTCCTCCTTCCGTTGAGGATAAGTCGTGATCTCCACCAGAATACTCTCTTAGCTGCGATAAAGAAGCCTTGAGGATAAGTCGTGATCTCCACCAAGAATAATCTCTTAGCTGCGATAAAGAAGCCTTGAGGATAAGTCATGATCTCCACAAGAATGATCTTTTAGCTACTATAAAATAGCTCCAATCTGGTAGAAGAGGGAGGAAGGTCACGCCCCACCAACACTTACAGAGGACAGACCGACGACCGGAGACCACTGCTTATTTGATTCTCCATTCTCTCAAAGCTTGTATCTCTATTCTCCATACCTTTGAATTAATAAAATACCCGGCAACTGAAGCCATTGAAGAGTGGACGTAGATCGAATTAACCGAACCATTATAAATCGTGTCTTCTTTAATTTTCTTATTGATTTCACTGCATTTATTATCTACACTTGACAGGTGGTGTGCAAAATCATTTTTGTGCATCATCAAAGTGGTCTGATATGTGTAAATGAAAGAGAAATGGTGGGATGGGCTTTAGAGATTTGAGAACTTTCAATATGGTCACGTTGGTCAAACATGCATGGAGAATTCACCATTACACAAACACTCTTCTGTACAAGGTTTTGAAGGCGAGGTACTTCCCTTCTACTTCGTTCTTCATCGAATTCAGGTTGTAACAGGAATGGTATATGGAATCAAAGAGTCCTCAGTAAAACTAAAATATTTGCGTGGAGGATGCCTCTAAATGCCCTCCCTACGAACGAGAATTTGTGGCGTATATGCCCTCGCTTTTTTGTGGTGCTGTGTTGGCTCCTGTGGCGAAATAGAAATGAGGTTATCTTCCAGCAATCGAGTAATGACCCTGCTGTTCTCTGTCACAGAGCAACAGAGTACCTTTCACAATACGAGCAAGCTGTGGATCATGGTAACACTGCTACAGATGGGGCTGCACCAATTCTGTGGTCTCCTCTTAAGTTCTGGTTCCTTTAAAGTCAATTTAATGGTGAGGTGTTTGAGATATAAGCTGCTATTGGGGTGGGTTTGGTTATAAGAGATGAAGCTGAGATGTTTATGGCGGGGATGTCGAAGAAGTTAGTTGCATTAGGTGAGGTGCAAATTGCTGAGACCATGGCTGCAAGCAAAGTTGTGCTATTTGCTAGGCAGATTGGGTGTGAGGAGATTGTGCTTGAAGGGTAGTCAACAACGGTGATGAAGAGGCTTCTTTGGGCATCATTGTTGTAGATGTTCAATGAGTTCTCGGAACGTTTAATTTATAGTCATTGACTATTGTCAGGCGTTTAAGAATTGTGTAGCTCACTGGTTGGTTCGAAAAATTAGATATATGAGAATGTTGATGTTTGAGAAGAGATAATACCAAAATTCTTAGTACCGCTTGTATCAAAAAAAAAAACCCAGCACGCCAATCGTGCATACAACTTCGTTTTAAAATGTCTTACAAATTTGTGATATTCTTAATTTAATCTTTAAGCTTTGTAAAAAACTATAGTTAACCCTTTTGGTCAATTTTAGCCGTTAAAATAAAAAAAAATTTCTAGTGTGAGATTCATGTACTATTGTTAAAGACAAAGTATGAACTAAATTATCAACAATATGATAATCGTGTCTTCTCTAATTTGAAGACTCAATCTAAATGAACGAAATACTTGAGGCACGAGAATGAACAATTAAATTCATTTATTAGACTATATGTATCATTATTACTACTCCTAATAGTAGCAAATAGTTTTCTAGTGAGAAAAAATCATTTGTTTTAATGCCTTAAATTGACGTAAAGGATCGATTCAAATGATTTTAAAAGTTTAAAAACTAAATTAAGACAATAAAAAAGTTTAAAAAATATTTTAAAACTAGAGTTAGAGTTGAATGGTCCTTTATGATATTTTTCCCGACAAACTGATATAATAGAATAGTTTAAGTGTAGCAACGTTAAAAAAAAATTAAAAATTAGACATAAACAATGGAGCTATTCATATATACCTCCCTATTATCTTTTTAAGCTCTAACTTTTTGGTATACGGAGAAAAATATATGCTTGACTTTACAAATAAAACCCGAGGATTGACTTTGCACGGCTGTCATTTTATATTTATTGACAGTAAGAAGATAATTGTGTGGTATAAAGTCAAACTTCTAAAAATTTATTGGTGTAGTGCGAGAATAAACTTTTAAAAGTTTATTATTTATATCTAAAGATGCTCGAATTTTTAATTTGTACCTTAAAAAACTTCAATTCTCAAATTGCATCCTCGTAAAAAAATTTGCAATGTGGCACATATCTAAATTGCCATTAATTTTTCGGTCTAATGATAGTGTCCTTCACATTGTGTTTTCAGACGACAGTTAGTGTTGGGATCAGAATTTTGAGGTATAAATTAAAAATTCGAAGCTTTTTCAGGGTACAAACTGTAATTAATTCTAAGATTAAAGATGCCATCCCGAGGTGGGTTACGTAACTTGTGCACATTACTATCCCCTTGGACAGCAACAATAGTCCACATTTCCAGCTAAGTAACATTAAAACAGCATTAATTTTCACATAAATACTAATTATTTGACAATTAGAATACAAAATCATCAACTTGCATATTGTTTTCGGATAAATTACACTTACACCCTCTAAATAATCACTCTTTTTTTACTTTGTCCCTTTAACTATCAGATTTATCACATTGCACTCTCAACTATATGATTTGTTTTACATTTCTCCAATTATTAATGTCTGTTTTATATTTAACAGAAATTTATTTTATTTTGTTCCCCAAATTATGTAATTTTTTTTTACTTTATTTCTACACGTCAGCGATTTCCATCCAAAAAAAAACAATCATTTGTGATTGGGGTAATGCGAAACAAAAGTGTTAGTTGAAGATGCAATGTAAGAAATTTGGTAGTTAAGGGGGCAAAATGAAAGAAGGGTGATAATTCAGGAGTGTAAGTATAATTTACCCATTGTTTTCTGTGCTTCACACCCCTTGATTCCTCCCGGACCTCCTCTAGTTAACTGCCTTCAAGAATAAAAATAAGAAAAATCACCGCAAACAAACAAGCCATAACACCAGTTGACTTTCTACACAGAGAGAGAGAGAGAGAGAGCTGTTGTGTTGTGTTCTTGTGATCTGTTCTCTTCTTTCATTTGTTTCAGTGAGATTTGAAGATTGAAACTTTGAGACAGAAAGGTGCAATGTCAATGCATGCCAAGACAGACTCAGAGGTGACAAGCCTAGCACCATCGTCACCGAACCGGCCGGTCTATTATGTGCAGAGCCCATCACGAGACTCTCACGATGGAGAGAAGACCACCAACTCCTTCCACTCAACGCCGGTCCTCAGCCCCATGGGGTCACCGGGTCGCCATTCCCGCGAGTCATCCTCCACCAGGTTCTCCGGTTCGCTCAAACCCGGTTCTGGCAAGGGCGGCGACGGATCAAGAGGCAGACACAACCATCGCAAGAGTGAGAAGCAATGGAAAGAGTTTGACGCCATTGAAGAAGAAGGTCTTCTTGATGACGATGGGACCTACAATGGCATACCTCGACGGTGCTATTTTGTGGCTTTTGTTGTGGGTTTCTTTGTTCTGTTCAGTTTCTTTGCTTTGATCTTATGGGGGGCTAGTCGAAATCAGAAACCTATCATCATCATGAAGGTGAACCCATTCATAACCAATTCATTTTGCTTTTATAAATTTGCTAGTTCAGATTCTCTGCTGATAATCAGGTGCATTTTTGCAGTATTTGGATTTTATTCGCAAACTTTATTTGTTAATCTAATTAATGTACAGTGGATCTCAACGTTGGCTGAGTCCTACGGCCAGTCCAATGATAAGGACTTATAATTGAACGAGCTGCCTCGATTTGGTTTGGATTTGACTTATTTTAAACTCTGTTTGAATTTGCCTTGTTTTGGGCTCCGCTCGGGTTCGAAACAAGTTACAACTAATCAAAACATATTTCATTTGAAATTGCATCTAAAAATTAAGCTCGTAGACATGAGGGTGCATACATATATATGTTTATATTTATGTAAATATTGTACCTACTTTATTTTGCTTTTTGGCAAAGTTTCTGAAAGTGGGTGATTGTTCAATTGTGCAGAGTATATCATATGATCAATTCATAATTCAATCTGGTTCAGATAGCACAGGGGTAGCCACAGATATGGCGTCCATGAACTCCACTGTCAAGCTCATTTTTCATAATAAGGGGACATTCTTCGGGGTCCACGTTACTTTTTTACCTCTTGATATCTTCTATTCTCAACTCACTGTAGCCACCGGAACTGTAAGTAACAAAAACCAACAACTCATTCATTCTATGTACTTCTTAAATATTCTTCCTTACGCTATCGAAAATTATTTTTTGGTACTGTACCAAAGTTAGTACAATATAAACTTAATGTTACAACTAAATCTAATAGGGTTACCCAAAATGAAGTTATTTAAAATTGATCCCAATTTTTTTTTTCTTTTGCTGTAACTTGACTTTGTTGGGCTGCAACTTGACCCAAAATGTTGCACTATTTGTAAATTTTGGTACGGCGACCATATTGGTGGTGTTTGGATGACCCGTTAGGATTTGATAAGATTTAATTTTTATATCCTAACCCATCCAACCCTAATTCACCAGTGACTTGCATTAGATGGGATACATGTTTGATTTTGTCCAGCCCATTGTTTGCTTAGTAACTTTGCAATTTTGTGGGACCCATAGATTAGGCCATTGATTTGTATTTGTTTACCAATCAATCCATAAACATATTCAATCCAAGTCTCTGTTTGGATGAGTCTGGATACAATAGAGGTGATGCTTCTCAAAATGACACCGTTTCACACCGAAATTATGTTGTTCTATTTAATAAAATAATATCGTTTCAAATCAAAACGAAGTTATTTTGAAGAACCAGAACCCAACTGTTAAAAAACTAACAGCAGAGGATCTGGATCCCTGTTTGGATACCTTCTCTCTTCATCATTCTTGTTTTATCTTTAGGTTTATATGGTTTGTTTTTGCAGATAAAAAAGTTCTATCAATCAAGAAAGAGTCAAAGAACAATAACAGTGATATTGAGTGGAAGTAATATCCCATTATATGGAGGGGGCTCAGACCTGAGCAGCCAGAATGGGATACCAACTTTACCAGTGCTACTGAGCTTGAACTTCAGAGTTCGAGCCAATGCTTACGTGCTGGGCAAACTGGTCAAGCCCAAGTTCAACAATGGAGTCCAGTGTTCTTTGGTTTTGGATCCCAAAAAGATGAATGTGGCCATTTCCTTGAAGAATTCTTGCACATACGAGTAAAGTTAGAAAGAAAAAAAAAAAAGCAAACTGATTGGAAGTTGTCCAATTGACTCCAATCACCATGGATTTGAAGGAAAGAAGAGAGATTTCTTGTTTTTGTTCTTTTCTTATGATTAAAGTAAGCAATAATGTAATTGGGGAATGTGGATACAGCTATACTTGGACACTGTTTGGTTGTATTGATTTATTGATATCTCATCCATTCCCGGGTGTTCTACCCTTTTCCTTGCAGATGAAAGTGCATTTTTTGTTCAATTTCTTTTTTTGATGATAGATTATGCCTTACGGATTTACCTGATTTATCTATATGTAAATTGGTCCCGAGCTAACTCATGTTTTTGATGTTGTATTGAGGACAAAAATATATTGGAAGAGATCTAATTCGAATTAACGTTAAAATCCTTCAACCTAACCTTTTGATTGAGTTGAAGATTACTTGATAATTTGTGTCTGAAAAATGTATTTATCGTCTTGGGAAGCAAATGAAATT